GCGGACTGGATTGTGCAACCACACTAATGAACCTTCGTTGAACCCTTTATTGTTCATTTTGCGGTCGTACCGGGTTTTCATTTTCTCAGACATTTGCTGGCCCGATTGTCTGACGTGCTCATAAATGTCATTCATTTTGTTCCGCAAGTCATTTGCATAATCGGTTATACTGCGTGGGGCATCAGGTGGTATCCCGGTGATCAGGTCCGCAGGCAGCCGTAATTCTCTTCCAAAGTTTGCGAAAGCTGGTGTCACAGCTGTACTTTCGTGAACAGAACTTCGATATGACAACAAAAACGGTTGTATGTGCTTGTCCCAATCTCGTTGCCGATTGTCTACAACTTTTGCTAGGTACCTCTCAATGTCTGATTAAATCGTTCCACCATTCCATCAGATTGCGGGTGATAAGAAGTCGTTCTTGTTTTATGAGTACCCATAACTCTGCAAGTTTCCTGGAATATTTGGGACTCAAAATTCCTTCCTTGATCGCTGTGAATCTCTAAAGGTACTCCAAAACGACAGAAGACTTCATGAACTAGTTTATCTGCAACTGTTGAAGCTTCTTGATTTGGAATGGCGAAGACTTCTGGCCACTTAGTGAAATAATCCATCACAACCATGAAATACTTGTTACCGCTTTCACTCTCCGGAAACGGCCCCGCCACGTCAATGGCTATTCTCTCCCATGGTGCACCCACATTGTACAACTTCAATGCACCTCTACTACGAGTCTGAGGTCCCTTTACAGCCGCACAACTTGTACATTTGCGACACCAGTCCTCGACATCGTTTCGACAGTGGACCCAGTAAAACCGTTCTCGGATCTTCAGTAGAGTTCGTTTAACTCCCAGATGGTCTCCTGAATAATCATTATGGTACAGCTGTAGAACATCCGGTACTTTAGTTTTAAGGACAACCATTTGTAAATGACAGCTGTCTCACCGAACATTTTTCCCATTTACGGCACAGAACTCCATCCTGAAGCAGCAAGCTGTCCCACTGGGCCCAATAGCTTTTAGTGGTTGAACTCATTGCTGAGACGTCGCTCCACTTAGGCTTGGGAGCACTTCTTGGCCTTCATCCATTCCAGGATCGGCTTGATGTCCGGATCTTCCTGCTGTGCACGTTGAAAGCTGTCCTTCCACTCGTTGCTGAGGTGGTCTGCCCTGAGCATCCTCACGGATACCACTTCCTTACTCTCTTGCCTAGTACAATGTTTGCAATCTTCAGGACAAGGTCTTCGTGATAATGCATCTGCGTTGCCATGAGATTTCCCGCTGCGAAGTTCGATCTCAAAGTCGTATTCCTGCAGTAGTTCAATCCACCTCGCAACTTGTCCTTCTGGATTTTTAAACTGCAATAGCCATTTTAGTGCAGCATGGTCAGTTCGTAAGTGAAATTTTCGCCCCAGAAGATATTTGATAAAATGCTGCAACGACTTTACCACAGCTAGCAATTCGCGTCTTGTGACACAATAGTTCCTTTCCGGTTTTGACAACGACTTGCTGAAGTACGCTATCACGACCTCTTGGTCACCATTCCGTTGAGACAACACACCGCCAAGTCCTATATCACTTGCGTCTGTGTCAACTATAAATTCTTTGCTTGCATCAGGGTATCCCAAAATAGGTGTTTTACACAGACGGTCCTTGAGCTCCTGGAATGCGATATTACAACTTTCATCCCAGCAGAAATGTCGCTTCTCCTCGGTTAGCTTATGCAGAGGTTTGGCTATATCTGCAAATTTCTTCACAAAACGTCGGTAGTAGGAGCACAAACCCAAAAATGCTCTAACCTGCGTCTTGTCTTTTGGAACCGGCCAATCCTTTACAGCTGCGATTTTCTCTGGATCCGTGCGGATACCTTCTTCCGACACTACATACCCCAAAAAGTTGACTTGCCGTTTGAATAGTGAACATTTCTTCGGACTCAACTTGAGGTTGGCACTCTTAATTTTCATGAGCACGCGTTCCAGGTTTTGAAGGTGTTCCTCAAACGTACGGCCCACGATGATGATGTCATGACCAGACAGGCGTCGCCAATTAGCCCGGTAAGTACAAGTTCCATCAGCCTTTCAAACGTTGCTGGAGCATTGCACAACCCAAACGGCATTACTTTAAATTGCCACAGACCCTTTCCCGTCGAGAACGCAGTTTTCTCCTTGTCCTTAGGGTCAATTTCAACTTGCCAGTAGCCACTTTTTAGGTCCAGCGTGCTAAACCACTTTACTCCTGTAAGCATGTCCAGCGTGTCGTCAATTCTTGGCAAGGGATAGCTATCCTTCTTAGTAACGTCGTTCAGACGGCGGTAGTCAACACAAAACCGCAAGCTGCCGTCCTTCTTCTTTACCAGTACCACGGGTGAACACCATGGACTAGATGAAGGTTCAATAACACCATCCTTCACCATTCCCTTAATCATGGTTTCCACTTCCTTTTCACATGCTACCGGCAATCGTCTTGGCCGCTGACGGATAGGCAACTCTTCACCTGTGTTTATTTTGTGTTGAACTAAACCAGTCTTTCCTATGTCAGCATCGTTTGATGAGAATACATCGGCGTACTCGAGTAACAACTTCTTCGCCTTGACCAATTCGTTCGGGGACAGAACACTGCGACAGTCTTCCAAAAGTGTGGTCACTCTCGTTTCTGAATCCTTGCTGGGGGTCCCACTCGATATATATTGGCACTGACGTAACCAATCCACTTCCTCACAAGTACCAACCAGTGTGCCTTTTTCTATAATCTGTTTCCCGGTCGCAAAGGTTCAGCACACGTACTCCTGAGATGTCAGTGGTCCTGACCAAGGTTCGAGCTACTTTCCATGGAAGGTCATTGTTTACCCTTTCCACAAGTACACAACGGTGAGCTTGCCCAGCGTTTCGAGGAAGACTAACCGGAACAATCGTTTCCGATCTCGGCGGAAGAACAATATTCTTGATGCTGTACACGTTCCCTGGTAACGCACCTTCCATAAAAAGTTCCTCCTGTCCACATTTCAAAACACCTTGCTTAACGTCGATCTCACAACAATTATTCCTCATAAGTCAGGCCTAGGATGCAGTCGTCCATTATATCAGCCACGATGACATTATGCAGGTAGATCACGTTGCCTAGCTTCAACTCCATCTCCTTCTCTCCACGGACGGGTATACGCTGACCGGTGGCTGTTACCAAATTAATGCGTTCTCGGTTGTATGCGGAGTCCCCAAGGAACTGACTTATAAGTTGGGAACTAACAACCGTACGAGAGGCTCCAGTGTCTATGGTCAGCTTACACGGCATTCCGTTGATCTCGCCCTTTATGATTAGGCTGTTCCCATCATGGGTTTGTGAGATCGAGATCCTTGGGGCTCTTTTAACATCAGCCAGCACCCGCCCCGCAGTTCTGGCTTTTACTCGTTTCCCTGCCGCTGCTGGGCGGTGCTGTTGGCCGCACTACCCTCCTGAGATCGTTCAATTTCCCTTTCTAGGGTTCGCTTAGGGCAGCTGGATCGAAGATGGCCCTTTTCCCCACGGCCATATCACCTTGGGCTGTATTCTTTGTTGCGGTCGCGAACTGTAGCTGCTGCAACCTCCCTGACGCGATGGGAACGATGATCCTGCCGCACGGCTTCCACTTCCAGTGCATGTGCCAAGGCGTCCTCAAGCGTCTCGTGGTGCCCGAGCCTCACAGCAGCTCTGACTTCCAGGTCGCGGATGCCGTCGATGAATGTCTGCACCAGGTTCCCTTCAATGAGCGCAGGTACAGACCGGTATGCTTTTCGCACCAGCTTCTCCACTTCTAGAGCCCACTGCTGCAGGTTTTCGTTAATGCGCTGCACACGATCTTTAAGCTGCGCACGAAAGACGTGTTCCAGGTGAGCGTCGCCATATCTCGCCTCCAATGCCTCAAGGAGTTGCTCATAAGTCACTTCCTCACCGAGAGCTTCCAGAACTGTAAGGCCTGGTCGCGCAGGCCTAGTGTGAGAGCAGCCATGGCCTGACTTTTATTCCAGCCGTTCGCCTTCATACAAGCCTCGAACTGGATTTTGTAGGCTGACCAGGAAGAAGTCCCGTCGAATGGTGGCACCTTGAACCCACGTAGCGAAGGTGTAGTAGCTACTACGGGAGCTGTAGTTCCCCTCCCCAAGTTTGAGTTCGTCAAGTGATTTCCTCATGTCAGCCATTACGTTGTCAACCCGATTGTTCACTTGGTCAATTCGGGTTTCAGCTTCCGACAGGCGGTTTTCATGTTGAGCAACCTTATCCTTCACCTCCCTTATCTCTTTCCCGAAGGTAGCGTGAAGGTCCTTCATGAGAAGCATCTGTTCCTCCTGTCGGCGGGCCTGTTCTGCCTGTCCGCTCTGCAGCTGCTCTTTCAACTGACGGACCTGTTCCTCCTGTCGGCGAGCCTGTTCCTGCAGCATCACCATCAGGACGCCTAAATCAGGTGCTGCAGATGCAGAAGCTACTGACGAACCGGCTTCCGCTGCCGGCGGCTGGCCCTCCGACGTCTGCGGCGTTGCACCACCAAATCTTCTCTGGTCCGTCTCATGCTGGCGTTGACTGCGGGTACGAACAACCTCCGTTTCCTCCTTAGGTAAAATCGGCATGATTTTATCTCACTTCTGACACCAATTGTTACGAGCTTGAGGTTCGTGACAATAAAAATTGCCGATAAAATTACCTAAATTAACACTTTAATTTACTTTACACAAATTAAAACTAAAAACACTAATAATTAAACACACTAATTCACTTAATTCCGCTCCGAAGCTTCGCTTGTGTCGCCGAGTTCAACTCTGCCCGATCGCATCTTGCAGCGCCTATTTATATAATTAGCAAAGAAGCGTCCCGAACATTCAAGTAAATGCGCGCCAGGCAACGAGTATTCGAGTGTAGATTTTCCAGAAACTTAGTTCTTCGGGTGGCGCTGTCGGTCGAAAGATTTGTGATGTCATTTACTGCAAAGCTCCCCTCGCTCTCGTTCCTGACACTAGATGGCGCTAGTTGACTTATTCATGCAACAATATCAACTACAAGTGGATCGCCTTTTTTGTTTCCTGGTCGAATACTGGAGTATCTAACATCTTCATACATGCTGAAATCACTGTAGCTTAGACAAACTACTTTATACGGTTCAGGCTTGCTTCTTGCGCTCTTTATTATATTTATATAGTCTCCAGGAATGAAAATATCTCGATGAGGTGACAACTTTCTTTCGATGCTGCTATGTATCGAGTCGACCTCCATCTGGGTGTGCCCAACTTCGAGGCATTTTTGTTCGATGATTTTGTTCTTTTCGACTGATAATTCAATTAGAGCATTAGACACATTCAAGGATCGATTATGGTAACCACACCCATCACTCCACAGGATAATTTTTTTGGTATTTGGTGCCTTTTCTAGTTCTGCCTTTAGGTGTTTCATCATAATAGACGTAAAGACATCACTGTCTAAGCCACCGCTTCCCTCGTGCCATAGATAGCAAATCACTTCTTTTGTTTTTAAATTATAGTGTGTGTAATTGTGAACTTAAAGTTTTGTTTTATAATAAACAGTTGATGCCTGGATTCTTGGGCATAGAAGTACTGTTTGGACATCCATAGTGTATACTAATACATCATCTTCAGTATTGTTTTTGTCATTATCCTTATTTTGTCTTGCTGTTTCTTTTTCTTCAAGTGACTCCTGTACTCATCTTTATTAATATTACCATTCTTGTAGGCTAAGCACTTGTTGCACTGGGCTTTCCTGGGCTTAAAAATAGACAAATTAAGCTTGCGATTCTTCCTCTCGAACGTCGCAACACAATATCGTCTCTTGTTGACCATGACCATGAACACTATTCCAGATTGGTTCTAAATATAATTTTGAGGAAGATGATCTGCAATAATGGGACTCTACTTTCGGCAGACTGTCGAAAATTTTTCGAATTGAATCGGATGCATTATTTTGAGTCCTTGCATTACAATCATTTCCATTTTGAGAGATAATAATACTTTCTGCCACATCTTTACTAGGAAAAACCCAATCCCTCAGTTGTCTTTGGCCAATGCACAAAAAGTTAAATATACGCGATAAATTCCGTAAAAACTAGTATTATTTCAATTCACAAAGTTTTCATAAACATTTGCTTACAAACATGAACTCTCTTAGCATTATCTTTCAAAGATAGGAAATATTTAAATCCTTTGTTTTTCCTAGAATCTAGGCTTGATGAACGTCGATGCTGTGGTGCATATAGACTTACTAAATTTCGGATATATACTTTATGAGCTTCCCAAGAACTCAGTGCCCAATAAGAATCAAAAATCAGTTTTCGGTCTTTTTCGGTTAACATTTCACATTCAAACCTTTGTCTCGGTCCTCCATGTTTCATTTCAGTATGCCCACCACATCTTGCCAGTAAGCATTTAGCTGATCTTAATAGTATTTGTTTGTATTTTCCATTCCTATCCTTCTCAAAATCTTCATACTGTTTACCTTGTAACCCAGCCTTAGAGTTTCTTAACCTCTTCCATTTTGTCTGATCTGCTTGGCCCTTACGATTGCGTTTCATTTTGTGGGTATCCTTACGAGTAAGCACTCCTGTCTCCTCATCAAGGACCTCTACGTTGGAGCTTGTACTTTCTTCTAATGTATTATATTGAAAGCCAACATTACTTTCTTCTGGCAGGTAATCTGAGTCAGAAGACGACCCTTCTTTGAACAAGACCTCTTCACTAGACGTGTCACACTGCTGCATAGTTTCATCTTCATGCAGCTGGCCAGTAGCTTCGTTCAGTCGCTGCTGGCGAGGTTGTTGAAAGGAACTTGTAGCTAACTGTACTAACCGCCTTCCTCTTGTGTTATTCATCTGCAACAATCAACCACCAAGGCATGCATACAAAACCAAAGCAAAATTCAAAAGGTTCTATGTCGCGTGTGTAACTACGTATTGCAACATAGGTCTCTTTAATTGGTATTATTTACAAGAAGGGTAAAAATAAACATTTTTTTATGAAGAAAAGTTATCTGTTAATCGATTCGCATCACTATATTATGTCTTAAGCGTTTTACAGTAAAAAAATGCAGTGAAAAAGCGGACTCACGGCGCTTTTTTTTAAAGTTAGGTTGAGATTTCTCATAAGTGTAATTAAAAGCAGGATATTAACGAAAACCACCTAAAACCAGCACACAAATACATATTTATGATAACTATCAACTTACCTTAGAAACGAAGCACAATACTATAACTTAATTAATAACTTGTTTTTTCTCAGAGCAAAAATCCGTTGCCACTCTAACTTTGACATAGAACAATTTGCCTGTATACGATTTACTGGCGAGTCGATCACGTGACATATTGCAAGTTTCAAATGCCACTTTCCCATTGGTAGATGGCATTGAATTTTTATCGGTCGCGTTCAAAATTAAAATTAAAGCATACCTTAGAAATAAAAAAAAAAATTGAAATTTTCGACATTGAACAAATTGCAATATGAACGACGGTATGTGTTTTTTTTGCGGGTAGTCGCAAAGTAAACACGCAAACTCAGTGTGCTAATTATATTTATTATTGTTAAATTATTTAAAGTATTCGTTCTTTCTAAATAAATGTGTTAAAACACTGCTAAAGTCTACCAACACGTGCTGTTCTTAACAACTTCTATCTTTTTATTGTTAAAGCACAGTTTTGCATAATAGTCTAATATGGAAAACAGCTTGTAAATATTCTTGATGAACTGGAAAAATTATTTGCTTCTCGCATGCGTGAGTATGAAGATAAGCTTTTAAAAGCCACAGCTGTTATCTCGCCCGTTCACCCAGACATTTCTTCACTGTCCAAGGACTTCAACGATTTCAAATCCTTTGTCAATCGCTATCGCTGATCAGAAAACACTTGGACTTAGTTACATACAATATTGACAAACTTGAAACAGCAATGAGAAGAAAAATACTGCTTATCCATGGTTTTTCTGAAAGACAGAATGAGAAGTTGCATGAATCGGTATATAAGCTGTTTTCCGACCAAATGAAGGTGACCGATTTGAAAGTCGAGGATATACAAGTATGCCATCGTCTGGGATCTTCTCAAGCCTCAACAGGTCCAGTGCTTGTTAAATTTGGTAGTCTGGAGAGTAGTCGTCTTGTCTGGGATAACAAAATTTCACTAAAAGGTTCAGGTATCACGATATCTGAGTTTTTGACTAAGACAAGGCACAAAGTATTTATGACAGCTCGTAAACATTTCGGGATTAAGAACTGCTGGTCCGTAGAAGGCAAAATAGTTATTATTTTGCCGGACAAATCACCTCAGAGGATTGAGTCTATGGCAGAACTAAAACCCCTTATTTGCCGATATCCCGACAAGTGTAGTACGGTCAATGACCCTGGGCAGTCTAAGGAACCCACTTCTCCAAAGGAAGTTGCGTCCAGATTGACTACTAATGCTCCACGGAAGGCTCGTCGCCGCAACTAATCCCTAGTTTCGTTGTTTTCTTTCAGAAAATATAGGTACATATCATAATCATTTTTTTTTGTTAGCCGTTTTACAACCACTTTGTAATACTGTTTTATAATTACTTTATATTTCTGTAATAATGATACATTTTTCCAGCTGGTACTTTCATAATAAGATAAGCATTTAATTACACACAGTAGTTATCAAAATGTCTATTTTATCATTCACATTTGCGTAAGCATCATACTAGTCTGCGATTCACATTGAATTGACCACATCCCATCCTGAAAAAATTACATAATCATACATTGAGCTATTATGTACTACGTACTAGAGACGACACTGCATTCAGCTACTCTGTTCCACTCAACTGCGGTGCATACACCGCACTTAAATCAGTCACTCGCTAGGCGCTTGTAGAGTTGTCACGTGTTGTGTTGATTTAAAAAAAAATCTCTTGATAAAAATATGCCGTCGTGTGTACTTAGATTTTGCACAAATAATTCAAGGAATGTCAGTAAAAACCAAGGTATTACTTTTCATCGGTTAATAAGTTACTTAATCAATAAAAAAGTATTATAAATTAATAATAAAACAAATTATTCCTAAGACGCCATCTTGTGTCATGTAATATAGATTATGAAATTAATTTGTTCAGATGCGACATTTCTGTGGGTACTTAAGTATAGGATGAATATATTGTTATACACATTTTTTTTGTAGAAACATATATGAGTTATTATAATTAGGCTAAATTTTTCATGTTTAAATCTGCTTATTATTCTTTTATTTTATTTTTAGGTTTCCACTTCAAAGTCAAAGTAGAATAAATTCGTCCATTTTTAACTCTCGCGTGCCCAACATTTATGAACGACGCTTATTCTAATTTAAGTAAATACATTTGTTATTTAAATTTTATATTAATAAGTTTTGTTAAACATACATTTAGAATATTTTTTTTATATTTGACATAGATACCTTTTAAAATATTCAGATAAAAATATCATTAAAATGTAATTGTGATATAATATTAAGTAATATTATATTAAATAAGCAAATATTATATACGAAATAATTGACAAAATTTGAAAATTGTTCTCGATATACATAGTTTACCTATTTAACAATACAATCTGTTATTACCTACTGATCATTCTACATATGTTTATTCTATGATAAAAAAAAACAACCGCGCGAACACAGAGTAGCGCACATGTTTTGTTTGAAATAGCTGTTCTAGTACGTAAGTACATATTACTTCAATGTAATCATAGCAAATAATGATGTAGAGTCAATGACATTTGTAACTAACTGACCATAAAGTCAAAGAGTAAAAAGAGAGTCCAAAGTAGCAAACCCACAAAATGCTTATTCTGGAGAAAAATTTACCCACATGCAATCTTTGGAAATTTGTGATAAATTGCTGCTTTTTCGATATTGTGATATTTTAATAGAATGTAATAGAATGATTTTTATTCAATATTGATTTTTTTTATTTACTTTTTCTCTTAGTCGTGACACACGGCCCTTTGGTCTGCTACTGTCAAGTTGTAGCTTGGGAAAATGTATTATTTATTCTGCTTTGCAGTAATATGTAATAGTGTTTTTCAATATTTTTATTAATCTCTTAAGGAAGTTTAATATGTATATAATTATAAGATAGGTTCATATCATAACATTTTAAACTCCTTTTTTTTTAAATCGAATCTTATGTATAAATTATACTCTCATAAGATTTTTTTTCTTCAGTATTTCATGACAGTTCTGTGATTGGTGATTTTCGTAGACAGAGAAACCTATAAACAAATTGACGCCTTCTTTCGCATTCGCACACGAAAAAGATAGATTTATGCATACGTCTTGCATAGAAATGAAATAGAGCGGTGTGATTGTTTGTCCCTTTCACCGTGCCGGTTTTTTTTGTTTATCAAACTCTAGTTTGCAAAATAACTTTGAAAGCGTAGCGATTTAAGGAGTTTACAAGTTGGTTTAAGTGAGAAAAAAGTGTTTGTGAGCCTAAGATTGGTGAATCTTGTTCAGTTCAGTTCTTAGAACAATTAAATTTTTTATCTAAATGTGTTTAAAAGTCATAAAGATTATTGTATAACCTAAAAATTCGTTATCGTCCTTTCTCACTCGAGGCCACGCCGATCATTAGTCTATAGGTTTCTCTGTCTACGGTGATTTTAGATGTTTTTTAATTTTTTTTTGTTCCGTTTGTATTAGATTATACCTAAGTTTTGTTTTATTTTAAATTAAGTAATTGCTAAATTGATATTTATAAATATATACATATATATTGTATTCACATATCATATTTATACATATTTTTTAAACTGTATTATTACATTTACATTTTATATTATATTATTGTTATATTATATGGACTAAATGAATAATCTTGATGTTTTTGATGACAGTTTCTTCTCATGCGCTTCATCTTCAAGTAGTTTTACAAGTGCGGATAGTGAGTTACCTTTAACTTTGTATGACCGGATTTCATCCCTGCGCTCTAAATTTCCTAACAACTTTAATGTTGCACACATTAACAACCAGAGTGTTCCTCGCCATTATCCTGATCTTCTAGCATCAATTAACAGTGCACATCTCGATGCTTTACTAATTTCTGAGTCATTTCTCAAGCCATCACTCCCCACTACACAGTTTGCCTTACCTGGTTTTGTCCTTATTCGTAATGATCGTATAGGAAAAGGTTGTGGTGGGATGGCTATATACCTGCGTTCGAATATATTTTATAAGACCATATGTGCCTCTCCTATTTACTCTCAATCTGCTGAATATCTCTTTATAGAAGTTACTCTCAATCATGTAAAAATATTGCTGGCTGTATTTTACAGTCCTACCATGCACATAGATTACTTTGATACGCTTGAAAAAATCCTTGCTGATTTTAGTACTACTTACGATCATATTATTCTTATGGGAGATTTCAACACCTGCCTTATTAAAAATGATTCTCGCTCCCAAAATCTTCTGACTTTGGTATCTTCCTTCAATCTTCTCACTCTCCCCCTTCAGGCAACTCACCACTCCCCTAACTGTAACCCTTCTTTGATCTTGATATTATGATCGTTTCTTCTCCTGATAGTGTCATGTCTCATGGACAAATAACTGCCTCTTTTTCATATCATGATTTAATCTACCTCTCTTAACGTCTCTCTCCACCTAAAAAGAAATCCCAATCCTTGTTCCTTCGTAATTACAAGGGAATAGATCTGGAGTCATTGCAGCGTGATATAAGCAGTGTTGATTGGACATCTATTGTTGACAATACTAATATTAATGAGAAGGTTTGTAACTTTAATGATATAATTTTGAAGGTATGCAGTAACCGTGCCCCGCTCAAACGCGTAAAAATAAAGCGTAATCCTGCACCATGGATTACACAAGAT